AATAAGGAAATCCTCCGTGGTGTCTTGATTTGAAGGAGGACTATTTGTTAAAAATTCAACTTACTTGTTTTAAAATGATCCAAACTGAATGATTTGAAAAGGAACATTAAAGTTCTGTACTTAATATTATTTATTTATACCTTTTTCTCTTTTGTGATGGGAAAATAAAAAGCTTAATCAATAGAAGAGACACTCATCAGTTTGCATCGTGACAACCAGAGAGCTAAAACAAAAACAATGCTGCCGTGGTCAGTCCAGAGGAGCCACGCGGGTTACAATGACAGGCCAGATTGCCTTGGTCAGGCTGGCTGAGCCAGCGGGAACTGATGTCAGTGGTTATTAATCATTTGTCAAAGACTGCAGGGCTTTATCAGATAATTATGGTTATAAGCATGTTTATATCAAACAAACATGTGGCAAAGCTACAAAGGATTGAGGCCCTAACACAATCTGCAATGACATTTTAAAAAACTACAGATTAAGTGATAAATCATCGAGCAAACGCTTTAGAAGATCATGCTATTCTTTATTGTTTTGGTATTCTGAATTATTTTGTGTATTATATATTTCCATGAACATTTAGAACCCTGTAAAGTCTTTGACTATATTCCTTCCTCCCGCTAATTTTCCAATGAGTTGTAAAAATAGCAAGTATAATCATCATTTGAAACAAAAGACTATTGACTCCATCCTATGAACAGACAACCAGAAGGTAATCACAGCTTATTTCATAAAATTCATTCCTGAGCAGGAATATCTTAGGTTATTCTGAAGAATCTATATAAGCATTGAAAGAAATGTGCCTAAGGGACAGTTCTAAACCCCACAAAGCAATAGATGACATTTTAAAATAAATGACTTGAGGCTGCAAACGGCATCCATTTTGCTCTGTCTGGCAGCATGCAAGTTTACATGCTAGGAAACGTTTCTCAACATGAATGAACTGTGAAATTGTTTCCTCCTACCCCACACTTCTCTAAATTATGTGAGATTATGTTAGCCATTTCTGCACCTTGTCGTAGAAGCTGTCAGTACCCTAAGAGGCAATGTTTGGTGGATGCTGGAGGCAAGTGCCCAGCATCCGAGATGCTGCTTAAATATCAGTTAGTGTGTTAAGAAAAAATAATGGAAAATATCATCCCATGCCTAACAGCATAAGGGGAATGGCTTTGCTGCAAATCTAGACTCGCAAGGGAAGATGATGAGGTGAACCATATATATTTCAATTCTTAGACTGTAAACTTCTCAGGAAAATGATTACTATTGCATCCCACCTTTACTGTGAGAAAAACAATATATGAATATATGCAGCATTTTAGCTGTTTTCATCCTAGAGCTAACTCTTTAAAACCCAAATTTACCTGCTTTGTGGATTGCATTTTGTCTTTAATGTTAATCTTACACACAAAAAACTAAGAAGGTGATTATGTTGCAGAAATAAAAGTCTTTCCAGATTAAAATGTGCGTGAGTGATCACTCCACCGTACTCCAGTCTAGGTGACAATAGTGAGACTATCTCCAAAAAAAAAA